TATGCACCGCTCACGACGCTCCCGTCTCATGTCTAGAGTGTAAAAACTGTAAGAACTGTTGTTGCGTTTATTGTTTTCCTTGCGCTGCGAGCGACTACTGCAGAACACACAAAATTTGACCAACCACCACGATAAAGACCGTGTATTTTTACATATGTTTACTGTTTTCTCCGTGAAGGGTCAGGAGCAAAATACGGTAAGACAAACAATTGTTTACCAACAACCGGGTAAATAGGGTAAACTCTGGTAAACATCACAAAGACTGCTTTCTCCACATATAATATATATATATATATATGCATTAGTATACATAGTATTTAAGTTGTCAGCTATCCTCTCGCTACCAAGACGGGCTGCGCATATCCGGTGCACCAACTTTGTAGTCATAGGAAATAGAGTGGCCCCTGCTCAAGAAGAATCAAAAATCACTTCAAACCTGCTCGTAACCCATGTTAACAAATACGCTGAATGCCATATCTTGTCGCAAGTTACATTTTCCAGACCCCCCCCCCACTTCGATCTGCCGACCCCCAGTAGGGGGGGGTTGTAAAATGTAAGTAAGCACGTCCCAGGCAACAAGTTACTTTTTTTTGCCCCCCCCCCCCCCCGTTCCCCCTTTCCTGGGGGCCGGGGGGGGGGGTAACTTACATTTTTTGACCCCCTAGGGCCCTAGGGGGTACCCTAAAATGTAACTTACTTTTGTGAGGTCCCCCCTCCCGGCAGGTAGGGATCTAATATGCACTTTCCAAGAAATCAACGTGTTGAACAGTCAGGAACTCGACTTCATTAAGGGAATTCGGGTACTTTTTTGCTTGGTCGCCTGCCTGCCTGTGTCCAAGTGACGCACAACACGCTGACTCTACCAAGCAAGTGAGCCAACCGATGAAGGTTGGCTCATGTATGTAAGCAAATCATTGGCTGTCCCAAACTGCTCTGCTACTTTAAGAGGCAAAGCCGTTGAGACGACCTGAGATGTTTGGCCTGCAAAACTCTTCAAATGGGATCTGCGCTGGACATTTCGGTTCCAAACAAAACCAAAGACCTGCAAATTCTGACCTGTCAGATTCATAGATTCCAACGCAAAGCAAAAACAAGTGCTGAGGCGCTCATCGACGTGAGTCCATCACACGAGGTAGGTCGACACCTTTGCGGTCTTGGTCACCCAGATCTGGTCCTGCGCAAAGATTTCAACCGTTCAATTGGGGAAACGAAACCGTTTGTTGTTCTCAGAGGTCTGATACCCCCACTGTACAATAAAGGCCAGTCGGTCCAAAATCTGGCCATGCTTGGAGTCCACCAACTCAAAGTGCATCGTGGTAGAGTTCACCACATTCAAACGGCCCATGGACAGCACGTCTGTGGCGTACCTCAGGACGTTCCCTTTCCCGGCACAGCTGGTTAACGATAGATCTCATCCGATCGCTCGTCTGCTCGTGGCTCGGTGAAGATGGCATGCCCCAAACGCATGTTGAAGCACCAAGGAACGGTGCATGTTGAAGCACAAGCGCAAACCCCTAACCTTGTCAAGTGGCACTGGGTTCAGTTCGGAAGTCCTTTCCGGGTCATCCGCTTTGTGCTCGCTTGGAACGCAAGCCTCACCTCTGCAGGTAGGATGCCAGTATTCAGTGCTAGGTCAGGGTTCAAAATCCATACCAGAAGCGTGAAAATAAGAGCCTAGCGACCCCTTCATACCTTTTTAGACAGTGGGGGTAGGCAAAGAGAGCTAGCTAGGAGCTTGCTGGTAGCTAAGATAAGCTACTTAATTACAGACATAGCTAGATCCTAGGTTGGGGCACAGAAAAGCTCCGGCTTTTTTGCATAATTGATTTCTTGCCTCGCTTTTTTCACATTGATGTGTAAAAGCTACTCGAGCAGTACAAAAACGGCGATGGCGATCTGGCCCAGATCACCTGCAGAGCACTGGGGAGCAACCTTGTATGCCATCTCCTTAGTTAACAACAGCACCTTGCTGGACCAAGTGTAAGGCTGGCTTTCAAGTTATACAATACTGTATGTTAGATCTGTGCAAGATTGCAACTATCTGCTTCCCAAGCAAAAAATGTGGGGATGTTCTTTTCCTTTCGTCAGGTCACATCACAGCCTGCCCCACCAGACACAATCTGAATGTAGCCCTTGGGGTCCTCGGGCTGCAGATCTACAGCTGATAGCAATCGGACTGGGATACCTTTCTGCTGTCAAAGGAGCCACGCTGTCTTTTGCTCATTAAACCCCCAAAAAACATCAGTACAGGAGAGCTTTGAGCATCCTCTGCATGTGGCTTCTCCATCCCCATGTTTTAGACCAGGGGACGGGTCGAATTGCAACTTGCATTTTGCCTGTTAAATTTGGAAACGCGTGTCAAACTGTCGTAGTACGTTAGATTGCGTTTCAACTTTTGAGGCGTCTTGGATGTGGTTTCCAGCCTGACCTTGTAAAAGCTGGATGAGGCATTGATGTCACCGGACGGAGGATCACGCCAATACCTCCCAGCCATTATCCACACAGGTACCAATTGGCTTCTGTTCGTGTCAACTCCGGTCGTTGAAGGACAAGTTCCATCTATCAAAGGATCATGACTACTGGGTATGATTATTGAGCATTACATACCTGATCGGCTATCCCCAAAACACGAAGGAAGCAGAGTCCCATGTCTTGTCCCTCGGCCTGTGTGCGTGGCCTGCGAAATAGAAGTCCACCTCATATTTCCTGGAGACATCAAAAGAGCTTTACCATCTTGAAGACGGGCAAGTTATATATAGTAGCTAGAAGCTCTAGCTACTAGTGTATAACAAGGGCATCGCTACCCGCTACTAGTAACAAGAGCATTACTACTACAATCTCTCCATCCTCCCTGTCGGTTTCCTGAAGTCTTTGGCTTGGAATATAGCAGTCATTCAAAAGGCTCTGAAAGACCAGCCCAATGGGAAATGACATGTCATTGAAACCCATCAAACATCCAGGTGCCTAGCTTGAGAAATACTGATCGTTGCTCTCTGCAGAATAATCTGCAAACACCAGCAGAAGCCACTGACTTGGACAAAGATGGCCACTGGCTCAGATTTCTCTTCCAAGAACCGATATATAACACGATGTAACAACGTATTTCCACCGCGTTTGGTTGTACCACTACGTCCTAGTCCTACTGCATCCGTCTCCACTCAATTTGAAACTCATCTCTGTAAGTCCTAACCCAGAGCCGAGAATCTCCAGTAGCTCAATCATCCCCGAGTGTTTGAGGCGCATCTCAGCGAGCTGGGAGCTTCGAGACCACAACAACCCGAACAAGCAGCTCGGTATGCACGAGTGCTGGTGTATCGATGTTGGTCTGGCAGAGCAGACGACTCATGCAAACATCAAGGACAGCCACTTCCAATCTGGAGGAGGCTGAAAATGCCGCTGCCACAAAACCACACAGCTCAAGCTAAGCCAAGGCCCCCATCCCAGTGCTATCACCACCCTTTTTTATGTTGCATACTGTAACCAGATCTTCGCGGCTTGTCTCGCCTTTCCTCGAAAGCAACAGAGATCACCGAGTCGCCAAGGGCCGGTGACCTCCAGCGACGATCCACTTCTTGCCGGCAGCCCTCGCTGCCTTCAAGTCCGCCTCGAGCCATCGGAGGTACTCACCTGTGCCGGATACACCGAAGACAAAAGGACCGAATGATCCCAAAACGATCACAAGCGTCATCGAAAACATGTCACAGAATGTCACATGTCGTTGATGTTGCTGTCCACGTTAAGAAACAAAAAAGCATCATCGAATGCATCTGATCTCCCGGCCTTCCGCGCCAAAGTGCCCTGCTTTCAACCAAGAGATGTGACCGTCACCTATGGCCCATGGCCACTTCTGGTTTGCCGGAAGTGGCGCCCGCAGGATCGAACATCCATCAATTGGGCATGTGAAAAAGTTGGATAATGCTTGAAGGGTCTTAGTTTTATATAAACAAAGTCAACCCGAGTAGTGAGAACAAAACCTCTCAAAACTGCGTTTCATGAGTGCGGTCCGGCTGCATTTCAGAGCCCTCTCAAATGAAAGCTCCCCCTATTTCGCACTCCCAGTGGCCAGTTTTGGACTCCTCAGCACCAGGGAAGTCTGTCTCGGTATTCAAGGCCACAAAGTGGATGGGGCCCACCTGGCGTCTCAGGTGGCCGGACCAACCGCCCAGTCTATCCAGGCCTATCCGGTCCCATCGTCTATCCAGGCCATAACAGTAGGCCTCCAACCTAAGAGCGATGGCCTCCAACCTACTTTTTTCACTTCTACAATATAATTGGGCACCCATATTCAACCCTTGGATGCAATTTCTACACAGTCTCATTAGGGTGTTCTTTCTGCCCCAGGTCCCCAAGGAACTAGTCGAACTGGCTGGGTATGGAAGTGCCTCAGACCCTGCAACTGTCCAACTCACCAAGTGTCACCAAGTTGGAACGGAGAATCAGAAAACCATAAAAACAAAGTCAACATGACGAGAAATCTCAACTGAAATCAAACAAACGGTCTTGTTCCTCCTTACCCTTATATACATGTGCCAACATCACTGCCAGGTCTACTGGATGTGAAATTGCTCTGAACGTTGGAAACTGCTTGGGCTTTTTCAGCAGCCGAAGAAATGCCAGTGTTGTTGCTGGAACATCAATGCCGCGGTATCAACACCATCCTCCATATAAAAGCATCAACGGCTAGTGAGACCAAGCTACGTTGAAGCTGTACCACATGTTGGCACGCCCGGCGCTGCTGCGGGAAGGCATGTGCCAACGGTGGTTGTACCTTGCATCATACCACCAGTGCACATCCTTTGTTATCTGAAGTCCAACAAAAAGTTACCCCCTTGGATTGTCTCTCCAAAACAATCCCGGGTCTTACTTATATAACATATAGTACACACAGTGAATGCAGGTTGACCTTTTTCAGATTCGCTTCAAAGCCCTTGGACTTAGCCCTGCCGGGAGCATTCCCAGTGCCACCGTTGTGGAGCGCACGCAGTGAAGTTCATGAGTGCACGGCCCAAGAATGGATCCACGACCTCACTGATGAGACTTCAGGCACAGGTCTGACAAAGCCAAGGACGCAAGAAGTGCCACAAGGCATGTGTCCGGTCTATATACAGTAATATCAACACTGGAAAACCTAGGCGAACGGCAATTCTGTGTTTTGGATCAAATCTCAAAACAGCACTCTGAACAGGGTTGAGGCATCTTTACCAAGCCCTGGGGAATCATGTGCTAAGCATCGAAAGATTGAATAGCAAGGTTCATGACCGAGAGTTACAGGTCCCATGCTAAATCTCAGATATCCTTTTCTCACAGCATCTTCTCTGTGAGACTCTGCCATAGGCCTCACTCGAGATGGACCTGTAATGTCAGCTTGGTCGGCAGCATCGGGTCTGTGACGATCAAATCTTCGCCTTCACTGAAGACCGGTGGATCTGCCTGGGTCAAATCCTTGAGGCTCATCTGGAGCTTGTACCTCAGCGGTGAGACATGCAGGACATTGAAACATATCATGAACATATTACCCTAATATGTTTTTCTTGAGGCGGAGTAAGCAAATCAATGTAATCATGTGTAAGGGGTCCAAATTAATTAAGTTGATTAAGTTGAAAAATATAATCGAGTCGGTTTGAGAGATAGAAACCTGAGGTGTCTTCCAGGGGTTAATGAATTGGAAGAGACCTAATCAATTGACCTCTACTTGAGTCCTACAAGACAAGAAGCAGCGAGAAATCAAGGACTGCTTAACAACTGACCCACCCCAAATAAAAGAACTGCACGCGGACCTTTTTTCAGCCCTCACCTAGATGACTTTTTGCTTTGTGTAGATGTCTTCAATCACCTCTCAACTTATCTGAACATGCAAAAATACAATATCATACAACTTCTGATGTGAATTAACTCTTCACCTTCACAAAGGCCCCCCAGCCCAAGTTGTCAACATTTAGGAAACTAGTTCTGGAAAATTAATTTGGAGCTCAGTAGGGGACCCCAATTGGTTTTCTAAGGATCGGACATTTCATGAAACATCTGAAACCCTGATGCATGAACCCAACGAAGGCCAACAAATCCAAAGGATCATGGGGATCCAAATTTAAGGAATGCTGGTGTCAAGCCCGTTCAACTCAAGTTGACTTCAGCCGAGAAGCTCATGCTGCTCACGAATCGCCTTTGGATTCTGCATGAAGACAATGCCACTTGTACTGGAAATCGATGGCCTTGACAATTGAAGGCCTGACAGGCAGATTAGTAGCAAGGCACCTTACTACTAGAAGCAAGAAGCTACTATATAGTAGCAACAAGGTGCCTTACTACTAGTAGCTTGTTGCTACTAGTAAGGCACCTTGCAACTAGTAGCAAGAAGCTAACAGTGTTCAACGTTCCACAACAAGCTGTCGGGCATACCGAGCTTTGGAGGTGTTGGAATCCACAGATGGTCCAAGAGATCTATTCTCAACCAGTCGAGAAGAACTCATTGTCTGCACTGAAAGAAATGGAAGGGTCACAGCCAATATGATTCTTCCAATGACAACCTCTTGCCCGACCACCGAGTTTACCCGGATACTGGTAGATCCGGAAACGTGTTGTGCACCCTTTAAAATTGACAAAACGTCCGTGACAACGAACAACATCATTCTTACCCATCCCACCAACAACGACCATCCAAGCCCGGGACCTGTTCTGCATTCAAAAAGCATGGCAATGTCATCGTGTCCACAACACAAATGCGTGAGGGTCAAAAACACCAGGAAACATGGTCAAGTGTCTGCTCGCAATGCGGTGCAACAAGGAAGCGCACAATGAGATGCTTTCGGTCCAAACAAAGCCACTACCACACCACGACGCTTGGTGTCCCAAGCCTTTAAAGTTAGATAACTTTGCCTTGACAACTAGAAGAAATAACAGAATTCACAATTCCTTTGTTTTGCCACGTGGCTGGGATGAGATCCCAACTCATCCAAGAGCTCTTGCAGGGTTGAGCTCCTTCGTCTCGCAAAGAGCTCATGTGTCCAAGAAGTCTGTTCATGAGCTCTTGGGATTCGCCCCCACTGGTCCCAGAGACTCCAAAATCATCTCAAAACACTGGAGGGCGTATGCACGAAAGCATACAAAAGTATTGCTCATCAGCTGCCAAAGGCTCTTCGGACGCTTCATGGTAAGCTTGGCTCCACCGCAGACCATACAGTCCTCCTTCTTCTGATACGGGAAGGTGTGGGTGTATACACCCTGCTGACCCATGTACATCATGTAGTTGTTCAAGACCGGGCCACAGTAGGTTGCCACCTTTAAAGCTTCGGCCACAAGTGCTGCTGCAATGAGCGCATTGGTGGATGCGATGGCTGGAATGATTCGCTTCACCTCAGCGCTGGCGCCGCTGGCGGCTGGCGCAAGTTCACCCAAGACCGACGTTGACACATGTCCATCAGTTCATGTTAATTCCCTGCTATTTGGATCACTTCTCCCAAACGGCTGAGCCACAACACCCATCGTCAACTGATAGGTCACACCAGGGATCCCGAAGGTAGCTGCCCGATCCTGTGTTGAAAGTGAAATGGGAAACCAATTGCTGGAAAAGCGAAGACGATGTCCAAATTCAGCAGCTAAGGACACAACTGCCCCACAGTTTCACGACATGGAACGACTGTCTGTCTCTACACCTGCCTTGGCCTGTTCGTAGACCCACTGCATGTCTGCAGGGGAGTCCTGCGGTCTTCACAGCCATTTCATGAATCAGAATGGTCTACGCGTTGACCATAATCTCACAGTCTGACAAGGTAACCACAATGAAACTAGTCTGCAAGAGAAAAGCACCGGCATTATGAAGAATGACCAGCAAGGTACACAAGGCAGAAGCAGCTAGGCGAACTTGTTGGACAGGGCATTAACTGATAGCTAATAGCTAGATTTATACCAGAGAACGCAGTGCCCAGACAGGGCTGAAATCATCATAAAACGAAAAAACAAAAACAACAAAAACACAATACAACTCTACTCAAAAACTCAAATCCCAAACAAACTCAACAGCAAAGCTCAAAACAAACTCAAAAAATACTCAAACAAGAACTCAAGAAAAAACTTAACTCAGACGCCAACTTGAGTCAGAATTTGAGTCCAAATTGAGTCTGATTTTAGTTTGTCCTGCCAAATGCTCAAAAATACTCAACTCAGACTCAAATCAGACTCAAGTCAGTTGTTCTTTGAATATTCTTGCGCCTTTTCTCGAGATTTCCCTGAGTCTGACTTGACTCTCTCATTTGAGTTGCTTTGGAATCTGAGTTTCCTGTCTTCTTCTCTTTGCAGTACGTTGCTGAGTTTATAGTCTTTCATTTTGATCCCTTGCTGCCTGGGATCGCGTTGTCTTAAACGGCTAGATACTGACAAATGGCCTGAACTGGCTTACAGCCTCATTTCACTGCGATGTTCTTCAAAAGAATGGCATAACAAAAAGAGTTGGCTGCCAAAACGCCTTAACGTACATAGCTTAATATCTTATTCAACTGCTGAAAACAGCAAATACTGTTTCAGGCTTGGCATTTTTGCACTGCCCAACCCATCCGGCCCAGTCCCTGTTCAGCTTCTGCCCAGGAAATCTCTGCTCCCAAAGGACCACAACTGCATACTCCACGCAATGTTCGGGTAGACGCGGAGTCTCTGCAATGGTGCACAGAGGGTAATTCACCTGTCCAGCGGACGCTCCCCTCGGTTTCCGAGGGATTTGAAACCCTTCCCATGGATGACTCATTTGAGTCGTTGGCCCTGTGACTCGGTGTGTCTCTGAGTTGGTTCCGTATGGATCGCTCCATGCAAGCACCGTTGCTGTTGGTGTGGTGTGAACAAAGAGAACTCACACCATACTGGATGTCCCAACGTCCTGCTATCTCCATCTTAGTACGGTTAGCACAACAAGGTGCAATCGGAAAGAAAAGGCATCAAGACTTTCAAAACGGGGACATCCTTGACACGAACCTATTCCGAGAGTCACGGGTAGTGCCTGGGGTGGAAAGGCATCTAATGAGCAATCGAAGCAGGATGTCATCGTCGGAATGATCACACGAGCTTGGCCCTTAAAGCCCTCAGTGCCACCATCAATGAGAGGAATGATCGTACCTCAGTAGCGAGGTTCAATTCCCGGTTCGAACAAACCTGCACTGTTGTTGTATTGCCTCAACCGTAAAGTGTCTGCACACAAACAACCAAACCACAAACCATCTGCGGCTTGCAACTTGCGATTCCCGAATAATGGGTATTATCAAGGTACTTGGGTCGGGCTCCCCTGAGGTGCGGTCGACCATGTCGTGAAGCGTGGCATTCATCCACCGCCGTGCTGCAATGTTGTCAAGACCGGCGATGAGAAGGTTGAACTTCCTGCAACACTGACGCGTACGGATTGCACGGACAGACACATCCATGTACATATATAGATGTACATCGAAAAGTGTATCGCTACTAGTAACAAGCGCATGAATACTAGTAACAAGAAGCTACTAGGTTGGAGGTCATCGCTATTAGGTTCGAGGCCATCGCTACTAGGGTGGAGGCCAATACTACTAGTAACAAGAAGCCAGTAACAAGGGCATCGCTACTAGTTCAAACAAGGTGAATCAAAGCACCTGCCCTGTCACATCGGGACACACCTGCCAACCCCCACGAAATTGATGCCATGTACATCTGCTGACCTCCTCACCCGCCTCTCCTGTAGAAGGTCTCGTCGAAGTCTTGGATCTTTCCGACCTTCCATGTTTAGCAAGGCATTTTACTCAAGAGGAATACAGGCTCCCAAATTGCCACACATCTGCAAAGGGCAACGTTTCTGCACGAATGTGTTGATGCGGGCAATGCGTTCAACATCTTTCAAACGAACATAAAGCTGCAAGGGAGACGTGGAGAGTCGATGAGAGGTGGCACTAAGGTGGGCATTTGGTGGATTTGGGTGGGGTGTCGGCATTGTTACTGGCTTCATGCAAATCATGCTCAGCCACCAGCTCGTCACTGAAGCTTCCAAAAGTCAAGTTGACATTCAATATACAAAAACCAGGGCGTTGAATCCTCCTCCTAAGCTTCTTGTTCATTGGTATGTCGGATTGGGGGAGCATGTTAATTGTTGCAAGCCAATTGGCATGGGCAGTAACCTTGGCCCCGAGATGACCCAAGCGCTTGTTGATGAAGGCTGCTGCCACCTCTGCCTTGGTCTTTCCAACATCTGCCTGACGGAAGAGGAATTGTCTATTGAGGTTGGTGACATCAATGGTGTCCATGTCGATGACATGGATATCCTTGGCTTGGTAATGGCTTTTTGGTGACAGGTTCAAAGTTTGTCTACTTGAACACTGGAGGTGGCAAAGATGGGCAGAGAGGTGATATGACATCCTCCAAGATCTCAAGTCCTCCAACTTTGGGGGACAGAAACAAAATAAAACTCTTCCTCAAGCTGCGAGCCTCTGTAAAACCGGACAAGGCTAAATCCTTCAGAATTTCACAGCCCAGGCCACCCGCGCCGATAACTAGGACTTTGCTTTCTCGCAGGTACCCGATGGTGTCTGCACCAGGTTCAAAAGCATCTGGATCAGCAAAGGGGCTGTTCTGTGTGAGCACACGATAGACGTGGCCATGTTTCTGTCCGCCCAGGTCCGACATGCTTGGTTTCTCTGAGCCGAAAAGGGGACTGACGGCCATGACCAGAAACCGGGCGTGTTTACGGTAGTTCCAGTGGCGTCCCCAGGTGTCTGATGCTGCCAATGAGTATGTATGTATTGATCCCAGTCAAGAAAAAACATGTTCTTTCTTTAGCCCGGGTAGGCCGTGAAGAGGTAGTAGCTAGGTAGCTAGTAGCTAACAAGTAGCTACTACGCAGGATAGCTCACGCTTCTTCAAGGAAGCTCCCCCCCGCCCGAGGACGGGGCAGCTTCGTTGAAGAAGCGCTCGCACTATTCATTCTGTGGTTCCTAGATTTTTAGGGAAACGCGACCTATCCAGTGACTACTGTAGTTACTACTGTCAACTCTCTGTTCACCGGCTTCTGGCTCTCCAAACACCCCAATTGCCACCAGGCTACGCATACAGGACTGTGGCATTCCGACTCGTGATTGCCTTTCTCAGCCAAGTTCTGGCTGCCATGACTTCAACTGGAACACCAGTCTGTATGAGTATGATGCTAGATTTACTGTAATGAACCTACCAAATCAATTACTTTTAGGGCAAAGCACTGAAAACTTCTGCACAATGACTGGTTTGAATCTCGCCTGCAGTGACCATGTAGGCCATGCTGGAAGTCAGATTTTGAAGCCAGTTCATGTACCCGTTGTAGGCAGTCTCATAAGTGAACCTGCCGGTGCACTGCCTATCCGCACCGTCAATCAAAAATCATGGGAACAGTTCTCTAGGTGTCCAAGCAAATGGAACGGCGGTCTGTCCGTGCATGTTTCCGCATTATGTTGAGGGTTCCCGTGGCAGGCGTCGCGTCCAAGATTCACCACATATACCTCACCTTCCTCCAAATGACTACCTCTTCTTGCCACTGCAGTCGCAAACCTCTTCTTCCTGTTCCCTGGCTACGGTTGCTATCGCCATGTAGCACATGGTGACGTGGTGGGTGTGGTCCGCCCTTCTGGCCAGGAGCCAAGTACAAGTGGCCATGGTACTTTGTCCATCCCAAAAGCCTAACCTTCCAACTCCGCAAATTCTCCCATTGCCTCACCGGTGAATGCGCGTAGGAATCATCCATGTAGCCAATATCTCCAAGATGCCAAATGAAATCCTCAACTATCGCACAGTTGCACAATGTTCTGCGAGCTATATAATCCCTGCAAACATATATACTGTATATATATATATATTATCATATCTATGTCCAATTGGAACAGCTCAAATTCCGTTTTGCTGTGCACTATGAAAGCACCTTCCATTCAGGGATATACTCCCCCGTTAATCTATCTTGTCTGTTTTCTTCACAACTCATCCGCAGGTGGCTCTCGCAGCTCTTTCAACTGCACCGCCACTGTGAAGGAAATACAGCGTTCTTCTCGCCGCCTTCCGGAACCCAGCGGCGCATGCTGCAGCCAAGCGGGATACAACACGAGGCTTCCCACATCGACGTGCACTTTCTGCAGTTCTCCCCATCCCAGTTTTCTTCGCAAGGCCTCTGGGACTTCGGCCATTCCAGCAGGGGTACGAGGGTCTTGCAGGTAGATGCCACAAATATCACAGTCCAAATAAAGTGATCCAGCAAAGGCCACTTTGGGATGAACATGAGGAAGATCGTACTGGTCGGAGTTCAGCTTGACCCAACTGGAAGCGACACTGATGTGAACCCGTCGGAGCGCCCCTTCTGCACCCCGGTCAGTCAAGGAGGTTTGCAGGTACTGCAGAGTAGCTTCCTGAATCAAGCCATGGACATCCCATTGTGGAAATGGTGCGCTGCTGAACAAGTACGGTTGGTGAGTGAGTTTTCTCTTGCCTTTAGTGGGTGGACGAAGGATCCTGGAGAGCAAGAAAGGATGAATTGATATGCCGCACGAATGATTTTGTTCATGTGGGGTATGTTACATCTCGTTGTAACGTTCAACACTTCTCCTTGGCAAAGACTGCACCAACAAGATACTGCTTGCTGTGCTTGCCCAATCCTCAACCCTTTGAGCCTGATATCTTTCCAACCAAAACCCCTCAAAGCCCAAACGGAAGGTTGGAGGTGGTCAGGTTCTTCCAGCCGCCAAGTCCTGCACTGCCCTCCACCCCTCCTCCACGAGGCGCTCTAACTTGGTGACAGCAGTCGCGACATCAGGCGCCCTTAAGGCGCCCAACTTTAAGACGTCGCCCAAGTCCTGGCGAAGTCCACGAGAACAATGGTTTTTCGTGTTCGGACCGGGTTGGAGCGAAGAAATCAGCCCCCGTTTTTGATCCCCTTCGATGAAATTCTATTAGCACAGAGCAATATCTGTGGTTCGGAATCCTGCTGCACTTGCAAATGTCTATTCAGACTCTATCCAAGTGCAAACAAGATTCCTCGGATGAGTTGGAGGGCGACTCTTGTGCCAGCTCCTTTATGTAGGCAGAGAGCACCTCAATCACTCAGGGTCTCAAGGCAGTCCTACCAGCATGTTAATTCCTGTCTCGCGCACGTGAAGACCACCCGACCTTCTGCCATTCAGGTAATTCACCATCCTCCAGTTCCGGTGGTAGGATGATATGAGCTGGCGTGCTCCACAGGGTTTGGGGCCCCAGTCCTTGGGGATGTGCTGGCCCTGGCCCTGCCACGGCAATGGCTGAGGGCAGTCCAAGGAAAATCCAAATCACCGAGCTCATGAGATGGCATGGCTCCAAATCAGCTCAGCTCAGCCAGCTATGTAAAGCTCCCAGGGGCTTGACTCTTATCTATTGACAGGACAGATTAGGGCTCAAGCTCCCTGGCTATTGGAGTTGTCAGCTGTCACGTCTCTTTTTACATTTTGATTGCTGGTCACTGATTCTCAGTTGCACATAGAACTTGATGTTGCCATTGCCATGCAAGAAATGTTGAAGGCCTGACATGTTGTGGCCAAGCAGCAGACTGGAATCCGGAGCGAAAACCATTTTCGGGCCAAACGGCCAAATGACTTGGTCTCAAGCAGGTGAGTTCGCCGAGTATACCCAGGAATAAGAAAACTAAAAGCACTTTCTGCACGGACATATTCAAGGCACGCCTGGCATGGAATGGAATAGTATTGCGGTTCATGTACCCTACAGTAGTTAGTTGTGGATCATTAGGTTCACCAAAAATATTATGCGCTACTTGGTCGCTGTCCCACTGTTGTTTGTTTTTCTTTTTCGCATTCCTTGTTGAGAGAACCCATGGTCGCTTCTTTTGTGACAGTTTTCCCTTCATTGATTGCACTAGCAGTACACACAAAAAATATTGAAATGAGACTTTCCAATGCTGGCAATTGTGCACAGAACCAAGTGCAACATAATGGAATGATGCGTTCTTAAAGAATCGATTCAATATGGACGCTTCGCCTCTCCCGCTCCATGGTCTCGCCGAAGCTTCGATGGATTTCTCATCCTTCCACTTTTCCAAGGTCTCGCGACTCTCCTTTGCAGACCATTTCCTGCAAACGCATCGTCTACCGGAGACACAGCGTGATCTGAGCTGCTTGGCATAGGTCTGTTCAAATCTTGGCATGGCAGACTTCTCGGAAGTGTCTGATCCATGGGGTTGAAAGAATAACAATAATAGTTGCATTCAGACATAGACTATCTGATGTGTCTAGTCATCTACTCTCTCTCTCTCTCTCTCTGAAGTGGATGTCATAGATAGAAGTGTGCTGTGAGGCCTTGCCTCTCAAAATAGCTTGAACCTTTGTTGGTGTCTGGTCATTGAAGAGAGCGCAAGATCGAAACATAATGAGAGTTCTGGATGTCTTGTATCTCTGTTTTGAGACCCTTGAGGCCCGGTCTTCTCCAAGCCGTGCAAGGTAATCACCATAGGACGTTCTTCGCTGCTCTCATAGCCTTGTGCAAGGCCCATCAATGCTTGTTTGCTCAAATCGGCAAATGATTGTTGCCATGCTGTTTTCTTCTTGCTTCCTTTGCTGTTTCCTTTTGACTGTTAAACTATATATTGTATATATATATAAGTATATAACTAACTACCTTCCTTGCTCTGTGTTTTTTCTTTCTCACATCTCTCACAACTAGGATCAAAACTGGGTTTTGTCAAAAGAGGAGCCCGCTCTCTGGGTGATCTGTCATGCATTTTTGAGACACGGCGACACCCAAATATGATGGAATGCAAACTAGTGGTAGTTCGTCAGTACAAACCAAATCTTCACAAAACCTCCAGCCATCGCTCCAGATCTTGAGTAAACATGAGTAAATTGTCATCCTCATGTTTCTGCTCTTCGCCCTCGTTCCGTTTTTCGAGCCACCCATGTCCCCGAAGATCGCCAAGGAGATGCGCCCCTCTGCATCCCTTGAGGCAGAGGTGAAGCTGAAGACCTGCATGTCTCGTGGTCACTTGGGACCGATCCATGAGTGACCGGTCCTTTAGGGGTAAGTGGATGTCATCTGAGGAAAGAGGCCCATTTGGTGGGTGTTGCCACCGACCAAAAGACTCTCTGACTCTCTTGCCCTTTGACCTTCCATGTTGTGAACCCTTCATTCACCAACCCATCACCCAGTCTGCCTCTGACCACTTGCTGTCATGCGCACTACCCACACGGTAGAAGTACCTTGAGCACTGGAGCACTTCTTTCTAGGAATTGATCGCCAAAATGAATCCGATATATTCCGAAATACTGTACCCAGGGAGGCATTCAGAAGTATGGTCTGTCAAAGCATTTCAGCAGTGCCTGGCTGGATTCAGATAGGTGTAGTGTAGTGTTCAAGAGCTCTAGATTCAGGCAAAAAATCTCAGTTCGCCTACGACGGCATTGGTTCCTAGGCCCAAGGCTAGAACAACACTGTGCTACCAAGTGAACCCATCCTTGTTATTGTTGCAGTGTACGGTGTACGCAGACGTGAGGCACTTGGTGCTCGGCTTCAAGCCCAAGATCTCAGCATGAGAATGGAAGCCTCAGATTCAGATCGCATTGCTGGATGCTGTCCTCGTCTTCAATGCAATTCACTGGACTTTCTGGACTGTACGGATGTCCACTCAAAAACAAATCACGGGTCACAAATGATGAAAACCGCTACGAAGCAAAATCCCCCAATAGTCGGTCATCGTCAGCAGCCCTTTTTCAGACAGCCGGCCATGGCCGCGGCCCGAACTTTGATGTGTCTTGGGTGTCGGGAAGTCCCCCTGATACGTGTGCTGTGGCAACCTGTGTGGTGAAAGTCCTGTTGAACTGTTCGTCATACGTTTCACGCAATGTTCATTCAATCCTTTCTCGATCCAATCTCCAAAGCCGTGCAAATCGGCACCCTGCCTTCGTTGGCCATGTAATGCTTGACATGGCCTAATCGCGGAAAGAAGTGGATGCAAATGGATGCAATATTGATGCAACAGGGTCCAACAGAACAAGTGGCTGGCCTTTCCAACCGTGCCTCTTCGGGCCAAGCAAAGGTTCAAAGAGTTGAAAGGATTGGAAGCAGTTTCACCGATCAGTTCAACCAATTGGCCACAGAACACGCACAAAGATCGCAAAAATCACAGAGCCTGTTGTCGACTGATCCAATTGGCTGGCTGAGACCCCATACTGAACCTCAGAAACGACTTGAGAGTCTACAATGGCAATGGGCCAAGTTTATCCAAGTGTCACGTACCTTGTTCAAACTCTAGGGAATCAGAACGTTTGCATTACAATTGCAATACAAAAAAAAATGATGGGCCGAGTGGCAGTGCTGTCCTTGGGTTCGCTCCTTCAATCAAAGTAGCTGCTTGTGATTTACATATTTCAACTTGAACGGTCTGAGACAGGTGTGTGTGTGCCGCCAGTCCGTCCATGAGTTTTCTGCTTTCAGCTTTGATTGACAAGACAAGATGCTAGCCGACAAATCTCCAAAAATGTGTGCCAAGCAATGTGATGTGCTCCAGATGCTCCAGGTGCTCCTGGTGAACCAAGACACAGTCATGCCACTCGGGTAACCGGAAGCATCCTGACCTGCGAAGGCCAGGTGGATCCTTAGCTGCATAAATGCAGATAGAATGAATCAAAAGAATGAATAATAAGTTCTAATAGCAATGGCCTCCAACCTAAGAGCGATGGTCTCCAACCTAAGAGCGATGGTCTCCAACCTAAGAGCGATGGCCTCCAACTGGATATTTTGACTTGGCAGGGCAACTCAGGCAATCTGACTTAAGCTTCAAGCCAGCCTGATGCAGGATATTCTATTCCAAGATATGCCAAGCATCTGCTCTGGTTCCAAGTGAGCTGACACTGCCAGGAAGCAGAGAAAGGAAATCTGCCAAACCATCTTCCCCAAGGCTCAACTCAGGCTATTGCCTTCCCACGTTATCACTGAGCTACACTGCAGAAATGGCAACAGTCAGACCAAGTGCTGGCTGGGGTTGTATAAACACTTGTCTCCAGCAATTGTGCATCAACAACCCTTTTCTTGGACATGAAGCTCAGAGAGGCTTAGAGGTTCTGGAAGCAAAAGGAGCACATCATGATTGGTGTTCTTTTCTAAAGCCTTATGGGTCAAAGCCAACAAATCAAATTCTTACATTGTGTTGGAAGTCTTGGAAGGAACAGGATGTATTTGGACACAACACCCATACAGGTTTCTCGCAAAATGAGACCTTTCTTCTTGTCAGGATTTTTCAGGGGTGCTTCAGTGGTCTCTTCAGAAACACACTACAGCTCGCATTGTGGTTTGTCCAATAGGATATGTAGCATTGCCAAGCGGCGTATGAAGTCATGGCACTGATCGAACCAGGTACAAGAACACCAAACAATCGACACACAACGATTTGCTGCGTTTTATTCCTCAAAACTTGGCGAAGCAGCGAAACCGGCGGCGTAACCCACGGAAGTATTGGTCCGGCTTCCTGCCGCTGTTGAACCGGATGCAACAGGGTTCCACCCTGTGTTCATAGCTCGATATTGTCCCTTTGGTGTCTGCCAACCACCAAGGACTATTTACAGGGCCCAGCATGCCCAATGGGAGCGAAAAATGCGTTGCCAAGCTTGTGAAAAAAGCTTGTCTAAGTTCAATCAAGCCTTGTCTGGCAATGGCTCACTTTCGGCCTTTTGCGGTCAGCTTGGAAGCTCCAGCGAGATAGGAGGACCTGAAGAGACACGTTTCAGCGTCTGCCTGCTGTCACAAAGCTGACATTCCAATCATTCCATGCCTCCCCCACCGCACCTCCACCTGCTTCTGCGCCCTGTCCGCTGGCGCCACTTGGGCCTGCAGCTGTCCCAAGTAACTTAAGTTTTCCTATATTAAAATCTAGGAATCAAATCATTAGTGCGAGCACTTCTTCAAGGAAGAAGCGTGAGCTATCCTGCGTCCAGTTACTAGAAGCTTAAGTAGCTAGTAGCGAACTACTCCCTTACTTAATTAAGTAGGCGCTTACTTAATTAAGTCGGGAGGGGGGGGCGGGCTTAATCCTTTTTTGAAACAGGTCAGCCGCTGACAGCCTTCTCATTTGTCCCAGCCTTCTGGACCTTTGCCAGATCTCGCTTTTGACGAGTCTGGAAGTCAGCCTGTGAGGGCCAGGACAAACAAAAGCTGCAGGACTCTGTGTTGGCACGAGTAAACCCAGGCAAAGCCTGCCCAAAATCACTTTTGCGAAAAGAATTGCTGGTCTAACCGTTACTACTCTTTTCTGGAAAACACCCAAAGTCCAGCGCTTAGTCGCCCGAAGTCCAGCCTCTAAGAGCTGAAGACGAGACAGTGAACGTTGGCTTCGCTTGGTGGAGTCCAAGTAGGCCTTTGGACCGACACCGAACATGTCTTCGCGCCCGAAGTCATGCGTTGGCCAGTCTTTTTCAATGTTCAATTGTGCCATTTATAAAATCACACTCGTTGAACATACATAAAACTGCTCCAGATGCATCTGCAAGACTGAAAGCAATGGCCGTTTCCTCTCAGTCTCACATCGTCTGTGAAAGTGCCTCCCTCAGCTCTTGCCACGCCAATTGCATTTTGGGCTCTGCCAAGTTGGCCCGGCCTGACCAGGCTCAAAATGGGAACCGCGGTCCCTCAAAACGACTTGGGAGCTTGCGGGCTGTTGCTGGTGCAACGGTTCTTTGTTTGGCGCCCTGCCTCTTTGGCTACGGCCATGTGCCAAAGCACACACACTCATGCGTGCTGCATGGAGGCGTCGAAACATCTGTAGGCCCGCCTGGCTGTCAAGCTTTGCAGCTTTGCAAAGGAAAACATGTTCTGCAGCAAGTATCAAGTCTCTGCTACTTGTATCTGTTTCCATGCCTTCCAAGAGTTCCATCGGCTAAAGAAGCACTGACATTCTACACAATCAAATTAGAAGCTGAAGGGAGAAATTGAATGAGCTTAGCAAATGCGCCCATTGGTGCTTCATCCATGTTCAGCACCTCCATGTTTGCAAGCCGGAAAGGGGGTGAGGTCAATGTGTGGCAACTCCAGGGAATCCTGCGGGCTTTGAAAAGAAATGCATGATCATGATGACACATTTACATGACGGATTGCAGGTGCATCGATTGGTAAGTGTGGCAACAAAGCGACCTGCATACGTGTCTATAGTTTCCTCCACCAACAAACGGGCGGCTTGACGAAGAAACATGAATAACAAATGGTCAACACAAAAAATAATCTTCAAAATAGTGCGACAAAAACATACCAAACATAGCAAAACTGGCTTTTATGCAGTCAATGGCGGTGTAAGGATGGTTGGACATCCTTTTGCTTCTCTTCGTTACCCATCTCCCATGGCCTGACTTGCACCACCTTGGCAAGGCTTCCGTGTCAGCCCGGAAAGTAGAATGGATGCTTAGGGTAGAAAAGTTGGGACGCGTTGGTTTCTTTGCACCGTGTCCATGTCTTCCCAGACCAAGGCCATCTGCTCGTATTGAGACAAAGACATTGAAGGACAAGGTCCTCTTAGAAGACTTCTTACCCAACTCGCAGTCACCCATGGTCATAACGAGTCGTACCAAGCACCTCAGATCCGCCGAGGGGCGAATCGTAGCCCCATGCGCTCGGCCTCTGGGTCCGCCAGCGCAGCGCACACGGCCTGGCCGATGCGCAGCGCACACGAGACCCGATGCCCTTTGCTCCTAGCAGCATCCTTGCTGATCTAGGTGTTTGATGGTTTTTGTGCATGTTTTGTGCCGCATGGTTGTAAAGCAAAGAAAATGTTCAGCAATATCACGAGCCAGGACGGAGATATCCTATCAAACTACCCCAAAGGACATACTCTGAACCCAAAACCATCTTTGCCAGAATGCTTGCATCATTCATGCAAGAGAACAGTGAACTTCATTATTGTACAATGTCATGAATGTAATCGCTAATGGGTTGGAGGCCATCGCTCTTAGGTTGGAGGCCTTCGCTCTTAGGTTGGAGGCCATCGCTCTTAGGTTGGAGGCCATCGCTCTTAGGTTGGAGGCCATCCCTTCTAGGTTGGAGGCCATCCCTTCTAGGTTGGAGGCCATCGCTCTTAGGTTGGAGGCCATCCCTTCCAGGTTGGAGGCCATCCCTTCCAGGTTGGAGGCCATCGCTCTTAGAGGTTGGACGCCATCGCTCTCAGTTATATAGGGTTGGACACCATCGCTCTTAGTTATATAGGGTAGGAAACCATCGCTCTTAGAGGTTGGAGGCCATGGCTCTTAGAGGTTGGAGGCCATCGCTCTTAGAGGTTGGAGGCCATCGCTCTTAGAGGTAGGAGGCCATCGCTCTTAGAGGTTGGAGGCCATCGCTCTTAGAGGTTGGAGGCCATCGCTCTTAGAGGTTGGAGGCCATCGCTCTTAGAGGTT